TAAAATGTTTATTAGATGATATTTTGTATTATCCCGCCTTGTCCCGCCTTCTTCTTTCGTGAAAATATATAAAGCTTTCTTAATCCTTTGTTCTTGGTTCCTGGCATTTTGGTCAGGAGCCCTTTTCCTTGGAATACTCCAATAAAAAGCAATAAAAAAACCTGCACCTCATGTCTGGGGTCCTTCATTGGCCGCGGCACCAAGCTCAGACCCGAATTGGGGACAACAGTGGTAATGTTCTTATTATTTTCATTATTTCTGGCAGTAAAGAATATGTACACAAATCATTAAAATGCTGATGTTTTAGCATTTTAACTCGCCCATTGCGACATAAAAATGGTTTATTATTATACTATTTCTAAGAAAAGTAATGGGATAACTGAGGGTTTTTTAAACACAGGAGCAGGAAATGAGTAAGCCTTACCCCTCAGGACAGCAAATAAATGCACATGATTTCCTAAGAGGAGGGGGTGGGGGGAGAAACAAAGAAGCTGTGTGGTCTGTCCTTGTATATATCTCTGTTTTCTCCCAACTCTTTAAAAAGTAATAAACATATTTCAGACTTAGTTTGGAAACCTAAACTTCAGGCCATACATCTCTATATTTTAGACCAAATCTTACTTCAGAGACACAATATTTCACAAATATTTCACATTTCAAGTGTGAAAGTTCTGAAACACTGTGATTTTGAACCCAGCCAGATTATAATAAAAAGTGCAAGCATTTTGTCTGACATTCCAAGGCAACTTATCAATTTTCTCTCCAATTACTTTATGCACCAATTTAAATGCAAGAAGCCATCAATAATATTAGCTAGTAAGTGTAATCAATGCAGGTTTACAGTTCAACTGAAATTGTCAAATTACAATTCTAAAGTAGCTGATTAAATTCTTTCATTACCACAATAATTATTCATGGTGATTGAAAGCTACATATTGTGCACATGATATATTCTAACTTCCAAGCGTCCTTGAGTAATGGTTAATATAAATGCGAAAGATACAGTAACAGATCAGTCTCCCTCAATATGAAATTGAAACATCTAAACAGGCAGCATGATTCAACCTCCCACTTCTTTCAGAATAATAGGAAGAACAAATATATTAAACAGAAAAGGATCAAAACCAAATAAGAGTTAGAAAAAGTTGCTGAGGCAAAAGGAGATATAATTTGCATAATTTTTTGGTATTTTCAGTTAATAGCTTTGGTTGTATAACATATTATTAGTTGGATCGAGATAGGTTGAGAGTCTGACTCAGAGTAAGGTAAGTTCATATGTTCGTAGGACTTCCGGACATTTTTTATTTTATTTTTCAAAAGATATTTCTCTTCCCATTTCCTTGTTATAGAAGTCCACGATTAATGACCTTTTGTTTATTAACCATTCTAAGTTATGACAGTGCTGAACAAATGAGTTATGGCCAGTCCTCACACTTATAACCATTGCAGCATCCTCATGTTACACGACCTAAATTTGGGAGTTTGGCAACCAGCATGTATTTATGATGGTTGCAACATTTCCATTTGTGACTTTCCCAGCCGACTTCCAATAAGCAAAGTCAATGGGGGAAGCTGGATTTGCTTAACATCTGGGTGAGTCATTTAATGACCCCAGTGGTTCTTCTTAACAATTCTGGCAAAAAGGTCATAACATTGGGCATGGCTCATTTAATAACCGCCTTGCTTAGTTCAAAATAGAACAAAAGTTCTGATTCCAATTGTAAGTCGAGGACTACCTGTATATATTTTGAAAGAATACAAGAAATAGGTAGTACAAATAAGAAAATGAGTTACAGATTGAGAAATATTATCTAACCATTGAGAAATGGGTAGATAAACAACAAATGTTAAGTATCATCAAGCTAATATATTTTAATACATCATTAGACACTTATAGAAGTATATTTTATATCCATTTTTCTAGTCAAAATCCATAAGCCCATTAGCTTTTAAGCTAAAAAAATGCTTGGTTCATATTGTTCACATCACTGAAAGAAAACTATACTAATGAATAATGCATTCCACCAATAATATAAATTATATATCAAATTAGAACATGGATTCTAAACTCAAATTTTGGATATGGCAAATTCCACATATAAAATTGCAGTTCCAGAATGGTTTCCAATTAGCATTAAATTATGCACCAGACATATGTTTAAATACTAACTTTAGTTTTTGTTATTTAACAGTAAACAGAAAACTTTGCTATCAACCGCCGCTTAGCTACAAGCAGCAAATAATTCTGCTGAATGCATAGGCTATTAACTGTATCTGATCTCATGATAAAATATTCCAGACCACAGTTTTCCTCTGTAAGCCTTTGTGATACATTTGAAATTGGGTATGTAATGTTATATAGTGGATGCTCTTAAACAGATTGTCTCAGCTGATCTTAGTGATGGTTCAGGAGAACAACTGTTAAGATTAAGGCAGCCTTCAAGGTGCCTTTGGAATACTTGGTCTGGGATAACTTGTTCAATGTGTGTTTGATGTCTTACTTTTCATTAGCTTCTATGTTCTCAACTAATAGCCTAGTTTAAGCAACCTTTAAAGTAACCACTTCACTGATTATTCAGTTCCATATTTGTACATGTGCTTGCCCCCCAGCTTTATACAGACACCCTAAACAAAAGCAGGAATAAAATAAATTTTGTAGATCCACATGAGAAATGTTCTTAAGAGCAGAGGGCAGATTTACAAAACAGTCAGAATTTCTGATAGGTAGCTCTGGTCAAAAGTCTTGCAGCAGCCATCTTCACTGGCATACCAAACATTCCTCAACAGCAGACCCAATTAAAAAGCCTTAATGTGATACACTATAATACAATAACTACAGTAGATCCAACTTTACTAAAAACAGACACAATCTGTATTCTAGCTGAGATGAATGAAAACAATGAGGCTGCAGCTGAAAATCCAGGACTACACATCAGCATTATAGTTGGTTTTTCAAGAAAGTAGGTTCTACATTGGTAGCCATTTGCTCCATGCAGCATTTTCCATTCAAACTGCAGTTATGTTCACTAGGCATGAGAAAATGAATGCAGTAGAATTTCTGCTTTTTACATAACACAAGTATGGATATAGCTGTCTTAGTTACAGCTCCTGCACATGAATCCACTTTTCTACTACAATGCATTTGCTCAGGAGTAGCTATACTTCAGAGGACCACATACACTGAGAGTTTAGCTGTCTGCAAGAGGAATGGGAAAGTACCTGTTGACAGTGCAGTTCCCTCTGTCCAGAGAGAGATAATGGCTATTTTTAATGGACAAAATCAAGTTTTACTGATATTTTTCATGCATTGGGACTTTATATCTACCTGTTTCTTCCTGCCTTCCTTCCCATTGAAGAATATTTTAAACACATACAGCCTCCTGTCTTCAATAGTGAAAGCCTTGATGGTTCTCACAATAATATACTTTGTAATTATCTCAAAAATAAAATGCTTTAAGCCACTATTGTTCAAAACAAATATTACAGATCATGTCCAGAAGAGGAAACATCCAAAAGGAGAGAAAATAGCATTAGTTGTCCTGGGAATGCATCAAGGGAATAATTAATAAACTAAAATATAACAAAGATGAGATTAAACTCTCATGTAAGCTCTCTTGGAGACTCTAAGCATAAACAAATGTTATACCCCTATTCTAGGCTATTCTAGGACTTCCAGGATTTACCAGATCCGAGCTCAGTAAATTTGGACAATTTGAGAGCAAAGAGATATAGTTTTCTGTACAGTGTAGTGGTCTTTAAGTTCTTTGTACCACACATCTCTAACCCTACAGTGACTGGACTAATTTTTGGATGACATTTTGTTAAAACCTCATGTTTAGCTATGTTAATTATCAAACTTCCAAACATGTGGAAGCACCTGACCCAACCTTGTCTAGGCACAAAGCTTACCATTGGGGTTGCTACTACTTGGGTGGAAGGCTTCCAAAGCCCATAGGCAAGACTGGGATGTAAACAATAAAATCCCAGAAGACAGTATTAACAAACAGCTGCCATACTGCTACCAAGAAATCTACATAGGCCTTAGGACTACGTATGCTTCAAAATAGTTCAGAAGAAGTGCTTCTACTCTGCATAAGTTGGAGAAAAAGGTGTTGCTTGAAGAGCTGCATTAACGTTAAGGCGTGAATTTGTTACGGCTGACACAGACCTTTTCAGGCTCATTTTAATGAGCAGCTGACAGATGTTTCATACATATTTGGTTCCACACAGGACTTCTGAATTATTCCTAACTGCGCTTGGCAATAATAAACAGATGCAAGTAGTCAACATGAGAAGCTTGACTCAAGGACATCTTTACCTTTTGAGTTTGTGAAGGCCAATCTTCCCATCTTTTTACTTAAACTAGCTATGGAATCATTTTTTTTTTTTTAGAATGTTGATCAAACTGTTATAGGGAAGGGTGCTTGCTACAGATATTTATTTCTACAAGATTTGTTTCATAGGGGACAGAAGTTGATTTTGCTCAGAGCAGGGTACAGTATTTTTAAGTATGCTCTGTGTCTCTTCTGTCTTATACTGCCTAGTTCAGTTCTTATGTTTTCTGGGCACCAAGCCCAGAATTGTTTAATTCTGTCTGGAGATTGCAGCATTTTCCAGGTACTGTATCAAGACAGATGGTTGTTTTATAAGTTAATGAAAGATAAAATGAAAAACTGTCTCTCTATTACTAGCAATAACCAGCATATTAAACCTGTATATCTCTTTTTTTATATATAAAGAGAGAAAGGTTTTTTTTATTATTATTATTACAGCTACTGGGTAACAAAATATATCAAGCTTTGAAATTATTACATTTTTTATATCAGTGACATAACTGATAATATTAGAAGCACTATTCTTCTTCAGCTACATAAAAGAAGCAGCAATCTGCTGTTGAATATCAGTATTTTTATTCTTCTAAAAAGCCAAGAATCTATTGTTTTGTTCTAATCATAGCTTTTCAATACTATTTAACATGACAAAGAAGAATCAGAACTTACCGTGTATTCTGATCCACATTCGGCCGATGGGAATAAAAGAAAAGGAAAAATAATGGCATAAAATTATTTCATTGTTCACATTGCTTCAATAAAATGCAAAAGACACTGCTAATTTTGATGCATGATACAAAGCCTTAAGAATCATATAACATAATTCAAAGGGGCACTATTTGTAATTGTTCAATAATGAATGGGCAGAGAAATTATTGGAAGTTGTGAACTGAACTTGATGGGTGTCATTCTTGCATAATTTTGCTTTTCAGCTTCCCTGCTCTTAATGAAATGTTAAAGTTACAGAATTGTTTAAATGTGTGTATTGTATATATGTGTGTTCATGTATGCACATATACACCAAACAAATTAGACGGTTTTTATTTTATCTTAAATGCGTATAAGTTATTCTAAATTTTACTGGAAAATCAATTGAATTAATATATCAAGAATACGCCCAGGGTTCCAATCGGCAAACTGCATAATAATTCAAGTTAGAGTCAAATGCTAGAGTATCAAAGCATTGTGAATTTGTGTCAGATGCTATCTTAATAATGGCAAATGTGAGTCAGGCATAGTCCTTAAAGCAGGGGTGTCAAACTCGCATCATCACATCATCATGTGAAGTATCGCAACTTTTTCCGCCTTTGCTAAAAGGGGTGGGCGTGGCCAGTGTGTGATGCATCTGGCCCGTGGGCTGCAAGTTTGACACTCTTGCCTTAGAAGATTGAAACCACCACTCCATGTCACCATTTAATTAATTTAATTTAAATTATTACCGTTTTTGCCTAATAAATTATTCAGTTTTGTATAAATTAAAATTGTTGACAATAATGATATTTGTCTACAAATATGTGTGCACTTCTTTGTAATGGAAGTTTATGGGTTATATCAACATACTAACTGTACAACACCAAGGGAAGCATAAAAACTGTGTGTGTATATGTAAGAGAAACCTTAACCCTGCAGTCTCCCACAACAAATACAATGGAGGAAACCAAATTTAAAAATATTGCTCCAAAATGTCTTACCAATTCATGATATATATTTTTTACAGCATTCATTTTGGAAAGGAAGGGAAAGATTAAGCTTCCCATCAGCATGGAGAACATAACAAGTTTGCCTCAAACAACTACAAAATACTTGTTAGAAAAGGCTATATTTTGTTAATCCTGTTTCATCTGCGAGAATAGTTGCCTTCTTTTAGGAAAGTAGATATGACAGTTTGGGGTAAAGAACTGGACATGAAAGCTAAAATGGCACCATATAAGACAACTAAGTTCATGGGATACAGCAAAAGTCCCTCAAGATTCATCTGTCCAAAGATATATATATATTTTTCCCTCTGCAGTATTGTTCCTTCTGACTGACAACTACTCTCCAAGGCTCCATCTTAGGCAGAAGACTTCCATGATACCTCCTCCATTTTTAATTTGTAAACTGGAGAAATCAATGTGTGCTTTACCACTAGGCTGCCTTCCCTTTTTCCATTGGACTCTTGGAGATGGTGCTGGTGCAGTTGGAAATTCTTATGAGGCAGATCCCAAGGATAGTTCCACACAATTATCTAAAGGGAGTAGTCGATGGGAACAACAGAACCCAAGGAGATCATTTCTGTCCTGGGAGAGTAGTCAGGGCTTCATTGTGGCTTTTTGAGAATATATACATCTCACTACTCTGACTTCCCTTCAGGCAGCACAATTCTCCAATTCCCTGTTAGCTCAAAGTTAGAGCACGTTTGCTCTCCTCCTCTGGTGCCAAAGAAACTCTGGGTGCCAGGAGAAATATGCCCTTGACATTTTACCTCAGATGGCAGAAGTGAGAGCAGGGTTTTTGTTTTTATTTTTTACAAGAACACTGGGTATGCCCTGGACATGTAAAGCAATTTTCAGATAGGCATGTGGAGAGAGCAAACTGAGCCCTGGTACCATAAACAATAATTTGTAGCCATATGACTAATTCGTGTTCAGCTTGCCTCTCCAGTTAGCAAAAGTTCTAATTATGAAGAATGGCAACTTGTCCTTGGATGAACTGAATGAAGCAGTGCCTGATCCTTGTAACCCCTACTAAATAATATCCCTGGTGCAATACAGCTATTAGGTTAACTGTGAGAGAAATCAGCTATAGCAACCAGGTGAATTATCAAACCTACTTTACAATTTTATGTAGTGCAACACTTAAGCAGCAGTGAAAAGAGTTGCGGCATGCGTATCTAGCAAAGACTAGAGCAAGAAACAAAAATATGGGCAGTCATTATTTTTATAGGGATTAGGACAGAGGTGAAATCCAGCAGGTTCTAAAATCCAGCGGAAATTTTGAATAGTTCGGGGAACCGGCAAATACCACCTCTGACTGGCCCCAGAGTGGGGTGAGAATGGAGATTTTGCAGTATCCTTCCCCTGCCACGCCCACCAAGCCACACCATGCCCACCAAGCCATGCCCACAGAACCGGTAGCAAAAAAATTTGGATTTCACCACTGGATTAGGGAGTTTTCTAATCCGTAATTTATAAAACTTTCACTTATGAAAGTTAAGGGGAAATAAACAACAAAAATGACTAGAGGACTATCTGTGAATTTGTGTTATGAAAATAACAGTTTTGTGTGGCACTTTTAAGGCTGTGAAATGTATTAGAGAATAAACCAGCCTTCTTCAACGACAGGTAATCCTCCATTTACAACCATTTGTTAAGCCACTGTTCAAAGTCACAAAGGCACTGAAAAATCTGCAGCTGAAATGGGAGTTAGAAGGCAGCCTGCCAACTCCAGAATTTTTTTTTTAAAGAAATAATTTTATGACAAGTGAGGGAAGATAAGATTGTTCACACTGAACATATAGTAAGAGAGAGAGAGAGAGAGAGAGAGAGAGAGAGAGAGACAGAGAGAGAGAGACAGACAGACAGACAAACATAGGTAGTCCTTGAGTTACAACTACAATTGAGACCAGAATTTCAGCTGCTAAGCAAGGCAGTTATGAACTGAGTCATGTCCAATTTTATGACCTTTTTTGCCATGGTCATAAAGCAAATCACTGCAGTTTAGTGACTCATGTGGTCATTAAGTAAATCTGGCTTCCCCTATTAATTATTTGCCAGAAGCCATCTGGGAAAGTCGTAAATGACATGGCTCCAGGATGCTGCAACTGTCATAAATACAGGCTGGTTGCCAAGCGCTGATATTTTGATCACACGATTGTGGGGATGCTATGATGGTTATACGTGCGAGGAATGATTGTAAGTCACTTTTTTGAGTGCCACAGTAACTGAATGGTTTTAAATCAAAGACTACCTGTAGTCTATAATAAAACAACTCAGTCTTGTCTGAGGTAATCCCTCCTTATCTGGCCATCTCAAAAAAAAAAAAAAAATCTCAAATCTTCTTTATTTGTATTGGCTCTCAGGGATCAGGTCAGTGGTGGGTTTCAAATTTTTTTACTACCGGTTCTGTGGGTGTGGCTTGGTGGGCGTGGCATGGCTTGGTGGGTGTGGCATGGCTTGGTGGGCGTGGCAGGGGAAAGATACTGTAAAATCTCCATTCCCACCCTACTCCAGGGGAAGGTTACTGCAAAATCCCCATTTCTTCCCGATCAGCTGGGACTTGGGAGGCAGAGAATAGATGGGGGTGGGGCCAGTCAGAATTTTTTACTACCGGTTCTCTGAACTACTCAAAATTTCCGCTATTGGTTCTCCAGTACTGGTCAGAACCTACTGAAACCCACCTCTGGATCAGGTAATTACTACTGGGCACAGGAGGCTACCCATTTGCTATTTAAAGGGCCCACGGCTCCAGTTTCTTGAACCAAAACAGGAGTGAAGTTCAAAATTCAGCTACCCAGGAGGCTGTCCAATGATGGGCCCAAATGCAGTTTCTATATTCGGAGGGGGGATGGAGAGAAGTTAAGAACTGAAATGAGAGCAGGTAGTTTTGGGGAGGGCAAAAAAAATCTATTCGCATCCATAATCTACAACCCGCACTCTAAAAAATGCCCCTCTTTTACATTTGCATATCTTTTTATATTTGCACAGGACATGGAAAAGAATCAAGTGATGCAAATCAGATATTAGAAATTCAATCTTCAGAGTCAGCTGGAGTCAGCCAGGATTCCACCGGCCTGCTACTACCCTCACTCTGGTCATTCGTGAACAAAGGAATTCCGAGGGAAGACTTCGGCTAAAGTTCCATTCTATTAATTTGTCTAAATAGAATCCACAATTTCCCATTTCACTGCAGAGGTTAATTAATTCAGCTGTGTTGTATATCAACTGTCACTGCCATTATAAAAAGTAACAGTGATTATTTTGCTTAACACCAACCTCCAATCTAATTGTCACTCTGTGTAGACTTTGCATGTCATTTCCCACTGATTTCACTGCTCGCAATTCTAAACCCGAACTAATAATATATGTATACCCAACTGAAAATTAATATGCATTGGATGGAGCATTTAGTCTCTAAAATATTAAATGGTAATAACATTTTTAATCCAAGATAGAATAGCAGAATCATGAAACAACTGAAAACATCTATTTGCTTTACCATCACAACTCCCTTAAAACATACCTGTAATTGTATATGGGTAGTAGTTCCATGCCTTCTCTGTGACGTAAAATATTTTGGGGACAACAGCTCTTGCCCAGCTTGGAAGTTTGCTACAAGAGAAACAAAAACTTGAATCACAAATACAATCCACCCTGTTAATTTCCCTAATGAATAATAATTAGTAGATGACATAAAGTTGTATTAAGGCTAAAGACAGATTGCAATAGACTTATATACGGCTTCATAGTGCTGTACAGCCCCCTGTAAGTGGTTTACAGAGTCAGCATATGGGCCCCAGCAATCTGGGTCCTTATTGATCTCAGAAGGATGGAAGGCTGAGTCAACCTTGAGCTAGTGAGGATTGAAGTGCTGGCAGTGGGCAGTAAGTTAGCATGCAATACTGTATTGTCGCCAGGGATGGGTTCCAAAACCCATCGCTACCAGTTTGCTTGTGGGTGTGTGTGTGCGCATGCGGAGAAGCCTCCCGCCGCTGCCGCTACCGGTTCGCTCAGTCAGGGGTGAACCGGTAGCAACCCATCACTGATTGTTGCACCAAGAGCCATACTGCATTGTACAGCTCTTGGTGGTGGCACAGATATATATTTTATGCCCACAGTTGTTTGAAAGAAGATGGGTGGCAAATGAATTAAACAAACAAACAAACAAACAAGCAAACAACTATTTCTTACTAAACATTACAAAACAGAAGCCTCAAATTTCCCATGTTTCTCATTCGCACATTTAGAACTTGGACAGTAGTGCCACAAGAAGATGTGTCTTCCCAACGGGACGTGTTGCAGTTATAAATTGGGAAATTGTTGTCCATATGTAGAAGCCATTTTTTTTTCCCACAGTGGCAACTGCTCAAAATGTATCTTCGAAGCTTAATTTTAAACAGCCATAAAACAGGATTATTTTTCCCAGCGTTGCCATTCAGTAAATATAGTTTGAAATGCAGTTTTATAGTTTTCCTGGCAGCAAGATACAAGTGATTTGGCCACTGCCTTCTCCTAGCCCTTTTTCCTAGCCTACACCTGGGGTTTCCCATGATTTATTTATTTGTTTAAATTTATTTATAAAATTTATTGGCCTCCCATCTTATCACAGGCTAACTCTGGGTGGCTTACAATCATATATATATGATTGTATGTTTTCCCCAAGCTTACTGGTAGAGCCAGGTCTTTAGGCCCTTATGAACAGATAGGAGGGATGGGGCCAACCTCACATCGGGAGGGGGCAATTTGTTCCAGAGGGCAGGTGATCCCCTCCCCTACTTAACCCTTTTTTTAATAAGCCAGTTACTTATTATAACAAATATATATTTCAGCCATCAATAATGTATTATAAATGAGTAAAGGACCAAAATAAGTATCCTACTTAAATAACAATAGCACTAGCACTTAGACTTATATACCGCTTTACAGTGCTTTACAGGCCTCTCTAAGCAGTTTACAGAGTCAGCCTATTGCCCCCAACAATCTGGATCCTCATTTTTCCAACCTTGGAAGGATGGAAGGATGAGTCAACCTTGAACCTGGTGAGATTCGATCTGCCAAACTGCTGACAGCCGGTGATCAGCAGAAGTAATCTGCAGTACTGCACTTTAACCACTGCGCCACCATGGTGAAAATGAAAATGTTCTGATTATTTTTCAAATATGAATTCTACCAGTGGTGAAATTCAGCCGGCTCTATCCGGATCCCGTGATCTGGTAGCGGCGGGAAGCTGTGCCCACCCGCCCGGATGTCATCACGTCCCATTTTTGACCCTCTGCACATGCGCAGAAGGCTCTGCACATGTGTGGAGGAGCACGCGCACTCACATTTGCGAACCGGTAGCGAAGGTAAGTGAATATCACCCCTGAGTTGTACGTTTTAGAAATTCAACCCTTTGTCTTCATCTAAATAATCACACCAGTGTTCCCACACTACATAATGTTTAGGTGCTATATAAACACTGAATAATGAACAACAACAAAAGTACAGCCTGGTAGCATTTTTCTAATTAACAATCCAAAATGTTAGCTTTGCATTGCACCCCAAAAACTTTTAAGATTTACTTTGCTCTCCCAATTCTAAAGTTGTTTTCTTATTATCGAGTGGTGGCTGAATGAGGGATGATACTCCTAACATGGGAAAAAATGCAGTCTGCTTGCATGCTGACGTCAGTATAAATCCTTCTCATATGCTGGTAAGGATCCAGCAAAGAGCAGGGACGATGATAAAGAGATAGGTAGCAAACCCTACAGAAATTAGATTATGGTTATCTTAAACAGAAGATGAATAAGATGAATAAGGTTCAGTTCAAATATGCCCAAACCCCAGAACAGGGAATTTTGCCAGACAATGTGAAAAATTGAGGTAGCCAACGAATTGGGACATGCTTACTAACTGGATGCACAGAAAACATGGGGGCAGGGCTAATGTGCATGGGGAACATTTCTTCATGCATTCACTAAGTTAAGATAAAGTAGCAATGTGTTTTCCAAACATAAAAAGTATTTTGGTTGGGGGGAAAGCAATCATGATTGCCTTTATTGTCAGATGCTGTTATGTGAGTATAATCTTGAGAGGTATCCAGAAGTGCCATTTAGTGTAAAATGCAACAGTGAAGATATGATCCCTTCTGCACTGCTGGTGTCTACATTAAAAAAAAGACTTCATTTATTCATTTAAACTGATTTAGGTGATTTTTCAGAATACTGTATCGCTTGAGTGCACTGCGGTGACCAGCATATGGAGATCTGGAAAAGCAAAGATATCAGTCTTAATACCAAGTGCAGAATAATAAATGCTATTGTTTTTTCTGTAACTACCTAGTTGTGAAAACTGGATAATAAAAACACAGATGGAAATTAAATTCCTTCAAATTATGGATATGGAGATTGCTACTGTGCAGAGCTTAGACACAAAGGGGGAGAGAGAGAGAGACAAAGTGGGGGGGATGAGAGATGGGGGGAAAGGGAGAAGAAGAGGGAGAGAATAGCATCAAGAAATAAATACCATTGGAAACTATGTTTACCAAGCTCAGGCTCTTTTATTTTGCTCAAAGCATTTATTCAAATTCCTTACATTAACTATGCTAAGAATGGAGGTGCTAGAAAAGGAAACTGGCTAAAACCACACTGGATAGAGACCATCAACAAGATTCTGGTTTAAATTTAGAGATATTAAACCAAGTTGTAAACTATCAAACGCAATGAAGAAAACTAATAAAGTCATAAAGAACTGAAGAAAAAAAGAGAGAGAGCAAGAATGTGCCTCCCACACAATTAATTCTAGGTAACTTACAATTCTAAAAGAATAACATTATCAAAACCAGTCCATCATACTGTATGTATTGGCAGGGCCAAAAACTTCCCAGTAAAATGCTGACTGCCTTATATGGTGCTCAGCCCTTTAAAAACCTTGCAGAAAAGCATGGGATTTGCTGCTTTTTAAAATCAGAACAGGTTAAGGTCCATCCAGACCTACAGGCCCACTACTCTTCAGTGAGGCACCAACATTGCCAAGATCATCCGCCAGGCTTCCTTACTTCCTTGGGACAGAGGTGTGGGTAGGACTTGATAGCATGCCTTCTTGAGCTAACCACATATTGGTTAAGCAGGTCCCCCTTGGAGCAAAGAGACTTAATGGAAAGAACACAGATGGTTCTAAAACAGTGATTTCTCAGACACATTTTAACTTGCTAGCATTTACTTTTTAAACCGTACCTGGGATAGGACCTACCTATCTGAAAGTCCAGTTCTTGTGATACTGAGACAAGGTGATGTAGTGACAAAGGTGCTGGATTAGAAAGTGGGAAATTCCCTCAGGCAAACCCAAAGGTGCTTTTTCAGGAGACAACTGGACTTTCTGGTCTTTCTTTGAAGATGTTTCACCTCTCATCTAAAAAGCTTTCTCAACTTCTGGGCTGAAAAAGCTTCTTAGATGAGAAATGAAACGTCTTCAACGAAAATCCAGAAAATCCAGTTGCCTCCTGAAAAAGTACCTTTGGGACAACCATGATCTGGATGACTGAGAATCTCCATAGACATCCCTCAGGCAAAAATACTATCTGGGTGATTATGAGCCAGTTACTGTCTCTCAGCCCAACTCACCTCAAAGGATTGTTGTGGGGGGAAGACAGGAAAGGAAGCATTATGTATGCTGCCTTGAACTGTAAAATGTAAATATGAGATATATCAAATAAATAGATAAAAGTATTCAGATGTTAAGAAGAACCTTCAATCAGGGTCTGTTTATTGGGCGTATCAGAAAGGGTCTACTGCATGGCTCTCAAACTATAGCATGAGTTCTTCATAGGGTTGCATCCTGTTGTGACCCAGGCTTCCTGAGTCATTAAAACACACGAGTAGTCCCACAAACCTCTTTTATTGCAACAGCTGTGAATTACGTTCATTCACAGCTGAGTCCCAATTAGTTGCAAAAAGTCCTTCGGGAGAAGTCCTTCGGGATAATCACCAACCTTTATCTCCCTTGACACACTGCCAAAGACCTACTTGGCAAAGTCACACGGAGTCCAGAATCAAACAGAGATGCCGAATGGGAACAGAATTAACAATGTTGCTTTCCTGCAAAGGGCCGACGTGCCTTTGCTCCTCTTTTAAGCCTTATGGGAGGGGCCAATCATCTCCAGGCCTTACTCCCAAGCAGGGGTGAAAGGCTCTCGGTTCAGACCGGCTCGGGCAAGTAGGTAGCGATGGCAGCGGGCAATTCGGAGAACCTGTAGCAAAAATCCCTGCCCCCACCCCCCATGCCCAGCTGAGCCACGCGATCATCAGAGCCTTTTTTTTCTTTTAAATGTTTCTGACCAGCCAAGCTCTGAGATCCCAGCTGAGTTGCCTGCTAATCAGGCAACTCAGCTTGGATCGCCAGAGCCATGTAAAAGAAAAAAACTTTTTTCCTTTTAAATGGCTCTGCCTGCTAATCGGTAGCAAAAATCCCTCCCCCTCCCTCCTCAGCTTGCTGCTGGTTGCAACGCCTTGCTGTAATCCCTGCATCACCAAGCAACTAAATCTCCCTGCAATCAAGCAGGCAGGGAGTTGAAGTCTACAAGTCTTAAAGTTGCCAAGGTTGGAGACCCCTGTTCAATTGGCTAAGTTTTTTCC